GATAGAGCTCATGGAGAGGAGGCCTAGTCTTTGGATAGATATCGCAGGTGAGTCAGAGTGTACCTAATTTAACACGTAACTGTAGTCAGGAGGTTTGGCTTGTAAGTAATCATAAAGCATAGTAGTCCTTGTTATCATATTACATATAGGTATAGCTGGATTCTCTCCCCATCAACGCGCACTCTCATAGGCTACTTCGAGATCACATGTCATCAGCAATAAAACTGCCAAATGTTTCTCCTTGGGCAACATTGCAAAAGCTTACGTTCAAGGGAAACGGTGTACTGGTATATTAAGTAAATATATTACTGGTATCCACAAATGTTTATGTTAATGTGTTACAGTAGAACGTCCACTAACGGCCACCTCTCTACAACGGCCACTTTTTTTTTTATCCCGGCGGACAATCCAAACATTGGCTCTTGTTTAAACCTCTCTACAACGGCAACGGCCACCAAAGCGTGTCCTCAATTGCCAGAATAACGTCTCGTTAACAGTCCGTTTTTTCAGCGATAGACGAAAAAGTCAAGAATAGTCACAAAAAATTGATCCGTATGGCGCGTCGATGATCAATCGCGGCAAGTCTCTCTATTCATTTTAGATTAAATGTAATACACTACTTTTTTGTATTTAGAACATGCACCTCAGGCTGAGAGTCGGTTTAGAACATTTATATTTTTCTCCTTTGTTTTTAAACTACGAGTCGTAGTCGCTAATTTTATCCGGCAAATACAAGCTCACAAGAAAGTCACCTTCCTTCCTTGTCCTCAACTGAGTTGTGAATTTTGTCTTTTAACATTTTGATTCCAAACGTTTAAGTTTTATTTTGTATTCTATCTATATCACCATTATAGGTTACAGTAAGCGTAAACTTTGCAAAATAAACATGTTGTACTCCCCGAAAAATACAACAACGAACAAACAAACAAACAAAAACAGATGTCATGTAACACCCCTACCTCCCCATAACGGCCACCTCACCACAATGGCCNGTTAATGTGTTACAGTAGAACGTCCACTAACGGCCACCTCTCTACAACGGCCACTTTTTTTTTTATCCCGGCGGACAATCCAAACATTGGCTCTTGTTTAAACCTCTCTACAACGGCAACGGCCACCAAAGCGTGTCCTCAATTGCCAGAATAACGTCTCGTTAACAGTCCGTTTTTTCAGCGATAGACGAAAAAGTCAAGAATAGTCACAAAAAATTGATCCGTATGGCGCGTCGATGATCAATCGCGGCAAGTCTCTCTATTCATTTTAGATTAAATGTAATACACTACTTTTTTGTATTTAGAACATGCACCTCAGGCTGAGAGTCGGTTTAGAACATTTATATTTTTCTCCTTTGTTTTTAAACTACGAGTCGTAGTCGCTAATTTTATCCGGCAAATACAAGCTCACAAGAAAGTCACCTTCCTTCCTTGTCCTCAACCGAGTTGTGAATTTTGTCTTTTAACATTTTGATTCCAAACGTTTAAGTTTTATTTTGTATTCTATCTATATCACCATTATAGGTTACAGTAAGCGTAAACTTTGCAAAATAAACATGTTGTACTCCCCGAAAAATACAACAACGAACAAACAAACAAACAAAAACAGATGTCATGTAACACCCCTACCTCCCCATAACGGCCACCTCACCACAATGGCCGCTTTCTTCCGTCCCTTAGTTGGCCGTTGTAGCGGAGAGGTTCAACTGTATATTGTATCTTTAAGTGTCTTTTGTTGTACCGCGATATAAATCAACTCTCTTGATTCACTGGTCGCTTGCGAAACTAGTTCTTAATTATTTGGGCGTCGCCCAAATAGAGTAATCAAGATCGCCTGTTTTAATTCACAGTTGCAATAGGCACGCAATACGTGCGAATGTAAACAAGCTAAGTAAACATGCCAAGCGACGCGATCAATCCGCGTCCACTATAACTCCACGCTTTCCACTTCACACACCTCAACCAACCCATAAAATATACAACGGTATTGCGCTACTCACCTATCCCTAATACAGTTGAAGCTCTCGTAAGCGACCACCTCAGAAATTTGTAAAAGTAGTCGTAACTAGAGCTGGTCGCTTACGAGAATGAGCTCTCGTAAGTGTCCTCATAATCAAGACAAAAGACGTCAGTTTGCATTGTGACAATTCTTTTATAACCCTTAACCGAACAGAAAGTTTAAGACAGTGCTCATTTGGGTGGTACATTGTGTTGTCTTGATAATGCCAAGGAGATCTTACTTTTCCCCTTACCCCTTGCCGGGATCAATTTGCTTGGTTTTCATCTGTGTATTTTACTCTGTTTGTAGTACGTAGTTCAGGTTCCGTTGAATACAGATCTCATAACTTTGTAAACAAGCTCAATATCCAAGCGTGTTTGTTAGGTGTAATTTTAAAATTATCCTTTTTCTTTGGTATTACAGATAAGGATCCTATCACAGAACTTAAGCGATATGATTCACATGACACAGCATTACCAGGAGCTACAAGTGACATTGAAGAAGAGAGTAAGTTGTAGAAAATGAACTTTATCAGACACAGTTACACTTTCATTTTGGTGTCCACAGCTTACGAACGAATACATTTAACTCTCTTTACTCCAGACACCCTCTGAAGGTCTCATCTATCAATGCTATTCGTGACACAAGCCACTCAAAGGCATGTTTCAGCAGTAGCCTTGCATCTCTTCAGAACCTCTAATCTGTTAATTGGACGCCTATGCTGGGTCGCAGCTCTTTTGTTTTCGGGCTAGGTTCCATCGTTAACTTTGTTTGTTCGTTCTTTACCCAACCGGTTGCAAACTTTAACCAATCCCGTGAGGTCTTCCGAGAGCTGCAAGATTGCCTACTTCAGAGACTTCGAAAAGTCTTTGGGGGTCCTTTTTAATGCAAATTATTTTAATGTTTTGCACGTGCATATGAAAGTAGAAAATTATGTCAAAGAATAATAAGGATGCTCTATTGTAAACACCAAATCTGTGGGGAAAATTTGTGACATCAACATTTAATTGCCTTCCTTGTTTTCAATGCCCTTGAAACTTGCAGGCGATATAAATTAAAGATTAATCTCGGGATTGTCTCGAAAAAAAATTATCGATTGGTTTCTAAATAAACATGAAGTTTGTACAAGTCAGGAGTGGACCAAATGGCATACAGAAATGGCAACAAAATTAGCTGACCGCAGGCTTATCATATTCTTCTTTCTCGCAATCAACCAAAGCAATCCCCCTCTTTTTTGGTGTCCACTTTTAAATGGAATGAAACCACTATGAGATGGAACTGCAATTCCAAAGAGCATTGTTTTCCTTAAATATTAGCCAATTATGTCGATAGCTTGTCAATTCACTGTTTTTGTGACCCTTGAAACGTCGTTTCCAAATTTGTTCATAATCAAAGCAGTCATGGGAGGTACAAGTTTCCTTGAGCAATTTCCAAAAAACTCTTTTGGTATCGAGAAATACGACGGCAGGTAAACACAATGGTGTCATTACGTTGCCAAGGCAACTCTAATGACAATAAGACACAGATCGTATAAAATTTTCATCTTTTTATCTTTATATAATACAGCTGTGGTAACCTTTTTCCAATGGCGATGAAGTAATTGCTTAAACTTGGAACGCAGCTTCCTCTAAAATCTAATTGTGCCACCTTAATAGCAGAGCGTTTGCGTGTGCAAAGCGAGTGCAATGGAGCCTANAGGTACAAGTTTCCTTGAGCAATTTCCAAAAAACTCTTTTGGTATCGAGAAATACGACGGCAGGTAAACACAATGGTGTCATTACGTTGCCAAGGCAACTCTAATGACAATAAGACACAGATCGTATAAAATTTTCATCTTTTTATCTTTATATAATACAGCTGTGGTAACCTTTTTCCAATGGCGATGAAGTAATTGCTTAAACTTGGAACGCAGCTTCCTCTAAAATCTAATTGTGCCACCTTAATAGCAGAGCGTTTGCGTGTGCAAAGCGAGTGCAATGGAGCCTATATTGTTATAGAAGTTACAATCCTCGTTGCAAGAAAATATCGTTATGACGTCAGTGTTCGCCCACCCGACAAATGTACAGACTCTGGGGGAGGGGGAGGGGAGAAGGTGGAACTCTCTTCCTTATCCAATAGAAAAGGTCAAGCGATGGTATTTTCGGAAAAAATAGGATTTGCTTCTAAATTTTTGCTCTGAGAAGACGATTATGTTCCCCGTCTTATGAAGTTGTTTTGTACTTTATTTTGAGTTTATTCTCTTTCATCTTGGTCTCTGCCCTTACTCCTGCCATTATTTATTTATTTTTCGTTTGTTATTTTATTCTATGTATTGTATTGTATCACCATTATTGTCTAGTCTTCTTGAACCATGTAACGGAAATGTCTTTCCTATCCCCTGCCTTGTTGGTTCCTTAGCTATTTGTGGGTGGGAAAATCATAATGTTAATGTAATTATTAGCAGATGAATTATTATTAACTTTGAGCTTTGAGCTTAAATATGACGACATTCATGTGCAAAATTACTGTTTTTCGGAAAGGAAACTTTGTCCTATTCCAGTGTACTATTGTTTTTCGTATCTTCCTTAAGTGACGACAAAATAGAGGTTTTATTTATGTAAGCTATTTTTGTATGGCATGGTGACCTGTACTCTGTCCTATGGAATGTGACCTTTGTTTTAGACTAGGCTTCCGGTCAATATCTCTGTTCTCGCGGTTTGTCTCTCGCTCAAAACTAGTGTACTAGGCACTGGAGGATAGTACTTGATTGATCGTCCCTTCCTTTTCCTGATTTTAGTGCCTTATTTTTTGTTGAGTTCACCAAATCATGCATGGCCTATTAGCAAAAACAAAAAAAATAAGCAAAAAAAACCAAGTTGGACAGAGATTGTCGTGAACCGCCATATTCGTTAGGCCTCCCTTTCGATGATTTTATTATATTCGGTAGTATTATTTCTTACTGCTACCCTCTTCAAGAAAGTTGTTGTTATAGTTTTGCTCTAATATCTGGAGATTCTCTGTTGATGCTTATGAAAGTGCCTGTTTTAATTATTTCAGAATGTTTCAGGAGATTGAAACCATTGGATACAGCTCATTGGAGAAATCGTCTTGAATATGTTGTAACTACAGCTATCGACTTTGAAGCTAAGCATAAGGAATGTGTGCGCGTCTTACCATACGATGATCCCGCAAAGGTTCACTTTTATGTGTTTAGTGGTAAGTCTGGTGTACCGCAAAAATTAAAAGATGCCGCTCAAGAATGCTTTGGGGAGATGAAAGTGAAACTGGAATGGTTTGATCTGTACAATGATGCTACCGAAATATTGAAGGTGACACCTATCGAGTTTCCATCAGGAAAGCCGGAAAGATTGAACGAATCTCAAATTTATAAAATCAATGAAATAATAAACAAAAACCCTCATGTCCTTGTCAAGCATCGCAACGTTACCGCCGTTCAAGCCTCTTTCAAAATCATAAATTCGAAGCAGACAAAGCAGCCTTGTATTGCAATTTATGTTCTTGGTAAAGGTTCCATCCCTGTCGGTGAGATTGAGTTTCCTCGCACACTTGGTGGTTATGATGTCGATGTTGTGGATGGATTTTGGTTCACGACGGGTGAGGATGATCCCTGGAGGCCAAACGAGGGACAGGAGCAGTGCGAGGTCCTTTGCCTAGGAGCAAGCATTGGCGTAGAAGGAGAAGAAGGGTGTGGAACCTTAGGTGCCATTGTGGAAGGGGATGGAAAATTTTATGCCCTTTCCTGTGATCATGTAATGAAACGCGCTCAGAAATCAAAGATAATTCACCCTGCTCGGGATGACTATCTGAACTATTTAAACTACCACTTACAGCAATATGTGGAGCGGATACAGTACATTATTAAACGTGAGCAACGCTTTCTCCGAGAAACCATTAGCCAATTTTCGTTTGACATTATTAAAGATTTGGAAAGGTTAAAGCTAAAATTTCAAGAATTAAAATCACTCAAAGAAGAGCACTACGACCAAGATAGAGCAAAAAAGGGAAACCTAGAGAAAGTAGAGCTTCACGAAAAAGCATTGGAGAATGGTTTTAAGACACCACCCAGAGTGATAGGCAGGTATATTGCTGGTATCTCCCGTAATATGAGGTGGACCGATGGCCAAGAGTATTTTATCGATGCTGCCGTTGCAGAGTTGACGCCAAAAGAAATAAAAGGTTTAAGAGAAAGTGAGAAAATTGAAATGATTGGCACAGGAAAATCCCCGAGCGGTAGATGCAGTTCAAGCTTTACAGCCTTTGGGGAGCTGTGTAAAAGTGGCCGAACCACTGAATACACCAACTCAGGCCGTCATGCAAACCCGAACGTGTATCTCCGGCTTAGTTCGTACAGGTTAAATGCTCAAAATAAACATTTAAACGATGTAGTGAAACGCGTTTCCATTTGTCATACATGTGCGTACTCGGCTGGTGTAGAAGAAGACCTAGAGCCTACTTTTTCTCCTTGTGGTTTTTGTAGAGTAGACACAGAAACTCTTAATGACGAAGTTTGGTTGAAGAACTGCTTATGCATAGACCGTCCATACGACCCCGCAAAAGGAGACGCATTTTCAGCTGGAGGAGATTCTGGGGCAGTAATTTTCGAAATAGAAGAAAAGAAAAGTCTTCTCGGCTTTGGCATCATTTTTGCCCAACAATGTCATTCATATGGATCTTGCGCCTTAGCCTCACCGTTGCTCCCTACTCTTCAGACGCTTTCGAGAGAAATCCCCGTGACCGAAAGTTTAAGCTTGTCTTCAAACGTGGTGGGAATCCCAAGTGACTCTGATACTGGGGAATCGCCTTGGTGGTGTAATATCGTGTGACGTTCTTAGGAGATGAACGTTGCATTATCTCTTACGTCAAGTAACTGAAAGGCTGATGTCTAGTGTAAGGGTCAACGTCTTAAGATGACGTAAAGTGCCTTTTGTTAAAAGCCTCTCGCGTAGGGATCGTTAACGTAAACACGAACAATGGACACTTACTAAATTTCGCCATCCTTAAATGTAGACAATCGTTGGTATCTTGACTCGTATTTAGTGTTCATCTCACAGGTGGGCATCTTCTGTGACGGCATTTATGAGTGGTCCAGTCGGGAGTTCACGAAACCACTACGGCACCAGTAAAGATGTCACTACGTTTTTCTCGATCTTTCAAACTTAATTGCAATGAACCAGGTTTCCAAACTTGAAAGATGTTGGCGAATTTTCCTAGAGTTGAATTGTCAGATTGTCTGTCCAAGTTTGAAAAAAGAAGGGAAACTTCTCATTTCAATATGTTAACTTCATCCATAAAACGTCGCGTTTCACGTCGTAGTCGTGCAGGAAGGTTAATAATTGAACCAAAAAGTGTGATGGACGTAGAGAGTTGCCAGTTTTCTCATTAAACCTATTGCAATTGCTTTGTTGACGTTATCGTTGCCATCGTCGTCGTCTTCGTTTCGTAGACTCCCGAATGCCACGGACACGTGTACTCTAAGTGGGTTTACTAAAACAGCAGTATAGAAAAAAGGCTCTTTAAATTGGGATATTGTCAGTGTATTTTTTTTAAATTTTCTAATCCAGTGAACTTTTCCGACATCTTATATTACTTTTCACGATGTTTTTCGGTTGTTTTAGTGTCACTTATATCCTTTATTTGATGTTGTCATTTGTTGAGCAAATTAGCCTGAGAAACTCTGGTTTGCCCGTGACCCAGGTTTTTTCAAACTTTGAAAACTATCTTGCATTTCAGCGCTCATATTAGGAAGGTAGAGATAAGAGAATCAAAGTATTTTAACGATAATTCAGAAGTTAAAATAGAAATCATTCACGTTATTAATTTTGATATTTGTAAGAAAGGGCTGCAAGAGAAAAATAGGTTTCCTAAAAATAACCTATTATTTAAAAGGGTGGATTTTTTCCCAAAAGTTTGGCTTTTTCTCAGTAGCAATTTAGTGAGGAAAAGATCGAAGTTGTTGTAATATATAGTCCCTACGTTTTGTAACTAATGATAGGTAGCGGTCTTAGTAATAGCTTGCTAGCAAGAAAATTTTAAAAATATTTACTGTATTTTGTTGTGTTATGGACAACAATCGAAAGTTTTAGACGGCTTCTTTACAGCAGACAGTAACACATGAAAATAAGTGATTTGTGAAGAGCTTGACAAGCCTTTAAAGTGAACCATATGATGTAATGTGCCCTTAGCTTGTGAGACAAAGTAAGCTCAATAAATCAATTGTTATCTTTGCTTGCCACAGTTGTATACTGACTTCTGTATTTTCACTTTGACCATCGCAAACGACATCCCATCTTATTTACGAGTTTTAATAATAATAATAATAATAATAATAATAATAATAATATAAATTTTGTTGATCAAATAAATCACACTGCTTTTCTACACCTCAACAACAACAAACTATCGTTAAGTAATTACAAAGATTTAAGTAAAGTCTATTCGGATAACATATTCACAATTTTTTAAGAATGTTTAAAAAGGATTTCTTGCTATGTGTAAAACATGTACAGTTGAAATACTTGTCATCAAAGGCGCAAGTTACCAAAACTGACAATAATATTCTCAACACTGTCAAGCACCAAAATTAAGTGAACCGTATATAGAAACCGTTAAAGGAAAAGAAAATTTAAAAACGCGAAAAAAAAAATATGAGAAAAATTACATCACTTTATACTCGCTTTAAAATTGCTCAAATAAAAGTCATCTAATGTGTCTTTTTTATATCTAAAGGCGGTTCTTGACCTCTGACACACATGTTTGCAGATCTCAAAATTTCAAAACTTAAGCGTGTTCTTTACCAATTGTCATTGTGGATGCATAATCATCCCCGGTTTTAAGGGTGAGTTTGTTCGCTGCTATGTTTTTGAATTCACCATATTCAAGTCATGCTATCAATCGCTGTTAAAAGTGCTTTTATTATTTGGAATGTGACTCCTATTGCTAGTACAATGACAGTCAAGGCTGAATTTATTGACGGCCAACGGTGCTGGGATGTTTCATAATCATATCAGTGTTTAAACTTCGCAATCTTGCTTGAAATGACTTCTTTAAGGGTGTTTAACAGAGGAAAATCCAAGAGCTGCTTTCAGACGGTTGGATAAAAAGAAGGCAATTTCGTTTCTAGACTAAAATTGTAACGAGAGACAAGACACAACTCAAGATTCAGGATCATTGGGCGCTTTCCATTCAAGAAAAAATCCGGTTTGAAATTTCGGAAATTCCACATGCCCCGCAATAGGACGGTATATTCCGGTTGCACAGACCCGTTCCAAGCCACCGCGCGTTTGGTTATTGTTCTTGTAAACAGGATAAAAGAGCAATACTGGGGACAACAATTTTGTCAAATGGAAAGGGACATTTCGGTCAGACCTTTAGAGCTGGTCCCGAATATTCCGGTCGGACCATGCAAACCGAAATGGACCGTTCCATTTGATGTACCAACCTCCTTGTACCAACCGAAATTTCCGGAATTTTGGGTTGAATGGAAAGCGCCCTTTATCTGTCTACTTGTCAGATATCATGTTACTCGCGTGGCAATTGGGATATGAAAATACTATCGTTTTGCTAATTTCATACGGTGAGGGTAAAAGGCGAATGAGTTTGCGGAATGGCATGTGGCATGCCTTCCGGAATGACATAATTATGCGGAATGTAATATATGCAGAAATAAAGAAAAGAAATAAATAAATTAAACTGAAAATTGCGCCCTTTTTGGGCGCCAATCAATTCACAAGCTGCCGCTTTTTTAATGTTGCGGGTTCGACTATGATGACAATCAAAAAGCCAGGAAAAACTCCTTGATTTCTCATGGTCAATTAGCTTTTTGCACAGCCACAAAGATTTTACTTGCCTTTATTAGTCGGGCTGCTGGCAGCACCTATACTACATCACGAAAGCTGGACAATAAAGAAAAGATGTTTTGGAAGGTCACGCTCCCTTCGGCTTTAATTTTTTTCTGCAAAAGATATTTGCACGATTAAAGTCACTTTTTTTACCCTTATTTGCATTTGTAACCGCGCGTGAGAAGTGTTTCTTTTTAAGACGGTGGCTCGCGTGATTGATCCTGACATTTAGAGATCGAACGTATCTTGTGTTTTGTTTCCTTGGCTGCGTGTGTGCTTTTTCTCTTTCTTTCTTTCTTTTCTGTTTCTTTTCCTTCCTACTTTTAACATTTTTTCTCCTTTATCTTTACCTTTATTAAGTTAGTAAAGCCGGTAAGGCATCACACCAACTGTTAAAAAAAATACATATTATTGACTTGGCTAGTTCTCGATCAAACACACACACTCACACAAACAAGGGAGGTGCGAAGAGACGCGGAAAGGCCGAAACGAGACAGAGAGCAGTTCACTGCCTCACTACTCGATTTGTGGATTACGAATTAATGTTTGACTCGCAAGGCGTTCATTTAGTCTCGAAAATGATCTGTTTTGTTCACCGTATTAATAATCCCAAGAATTGTAGCGTTCAGCGAGCGTTTTTTTACGCTCTAGTGAGACGATAACGAGTGACGCTTTGTTTGAGTTTAGCCAAGTAGCACAGGTTATACAGCTATTTCGAGAAAGGTTGTCGGAAAA